GACGAGTACTATAAGGTTTTCAGTGTGAAAATGGAACCAGCCAAATTCTGTGGTGAATACACATGTATATAATACTACTAAGCAGCCAAGGGTACACTAAATCTTTTCTCAATATCCCCCACAAATGTTGTGGACAGTGGAGGAAATGTGATGTCTTGCGGGTGACGTGTGTTGCTCAGCAGGACTAAGTCAAAGATTGTGACCAAATGTCATCAAATTTAAATTCAAATAAATCAAAAGAAATCAGCCTTTACTGGCAACTCTGTTTGGTTAATTGGGTTTGGCAGTAACGTTCAAGTAATAAGAGAGACTTGCCATATGTCTCACAATTCACACCTCTCTCTCGTGGCTTCCATGATTCATTATTACACGGCCAGGTCCTCCCCTTTATATTAACCACTCTGTCTTTTTTATGGCTCGTCAAGTCCATTGGAAATGACCAATGAATGCCGTAATCGAACACCAGGCAATTAACTCAGCCTTCAGTGAGATAAAAAAAAGTCCACGAAAATGAAGAAGATCGAACTGCAATAACTCAACCTACAGTGAGGTTTTTTAAAAATCCAAGAAAATGAAGAAGAGCGACTAGCAATTTTAGCACGATTGTGAAAATCCTGCAGTTTCTGTCATAGACGAATGGAAGAATGACTGAACGCGATGCGATCGGATGAGGGATGACGAGCATGCTGACAACTTGACAGATTTTTCATAGGATTGGATTTCAAGTCGAGTGCAGCTCAGTGGCGTAACGGGAGGGGGTAGGGGCAGCCAACTCCCCCGTTCGAGGACTGTGGCCCCCGAGTACCCCTCCCTGCTCAGAAATTACAGAAGGAAGGAGTCTGTCTTCTTCAGTATTGTAACTGTGACCAAACTCACTGAGTGCCCCCTTCAAGAAAATGAGGGCCCTAAGTTTACCACCATGCAAAATGTACCTCAATTTAATACGCTACTCAGTGGTGCAGCTGCGGGTGTGAGACACTGTACACAGGGTTCACGATGGCTGAAGTTCTCCCATCGGTATATGAAAACTGCCGACATTTTTCATTAAACTTGGACAGTTATGAGGCCGAAGCTGGACAGAGGACGGGTGCACTATTCCTAGTACATGTACCTTTGGTTGGACTTGTACTTCGTCGGTTCACAAATGACTATAAAATGCACGCGGTACAGTCGCGTCGCTTCCGACAAAATAAACACTCCCCACCGACGTGTCTCTCTTCAACCGGTGATCGAGTGCTTCTGCACAAGGAGAAATGTGCCAGTGACAGGCTTTTCAGTGCCACATTGGGGACAAAGGGATATAAATTGACAAGTGAAATGATTTATCGAGACAAGTCTGACAAACTGATCATGAACCACATCAATAACTCCTTGTACGGATGCAAGTATATGATATAAGCTCGTGACAGGTACACATACAGGCCTACGTAGCACAAGTCTTGCGCAAATTTGCCATCAAACTATGAACGTTACAAATAGACTGATAAGTTGGCGGGCTTGGGTAAACCTCAGTAAAATCCTCAATTCACCGAGCGTGAATGTGCTGCATGTTGTGTTAGTCGAAGAATTTGCAATACACTGAAGGAAATTAACTACGATTATTCACAAGACTGATGTTCAATGGTTCAATGATTCAACGACGAAATGGAGTATTGTTAGCAAAACAAGTAAGACAATGAAGTTTATGCACTGATGGGTCATACTCGTTTGTGCCCGACTGTGGTCCTTCTAAAGTGCTTTGAGGGGGCCAATCTATACAAAATACGTGTTATTTTTTCATGCACATGAACATATACGGATTTATCGCCAACAATACTACAAATAAAATTGTGACCCTTCCAATGCACGAACTACACTACGTCAGATGATCATGTAACAACGCAAGAAATCTTCAGGACAAGCCTACATGTACGCCTGGCCTAGGGCACATACAATGTTTTCCACAAAGGGATGGGGCAACGCAATGTGTCTGCTACTGTTCTTGTATGTTCAGCCGGCTATACGCGTGTTTAGGCAGCTCGTACAGGGCCCGGGCATTGAATTCCGACGGTTTTCTGGACAAAAAATTATCTCAGCGACTGGTTAAACGCACAGCAACACGTGCAAGAAATATCCTTGCTGTTAATAAACCGGGCAGGACCAAGAACAAACATAATGAAGGTCACGCGTTCACGTTGAACGGAGGACTGATTACGACGATTACGTATAGGTGCTACAAACAATGGCTACGTGCTTTGTTTGGCATGCACAAGGGTTTATCCACTACGAATACACGGCGAGGGTTCCCCTCGTTCTCTCTGTTTTCTCCGAATGACACAGTCCACATTCAGAATTCGTCTCTTGGCTTGAACCAAAATAAAAACCCAAACAAAAACAAAACAAAACAGTTTTTAGCTTGTTATTAGTTGAGCTCTAAAGACAACTGATACTGCCTTCGATTTCGATATTTCCACATTTATTTGAACAGATAAAATCAGAGAAAACACGTTTTCCTTGGAGGTGCCCTTTAAACATTTCTTTTTAACATTTCGATTTCCTCTGAGACTTTTTTCAAGATTGCAACAATGCATTTCCCTAAACTTGATCCCCTAGCCTATATACATGTAGAACTTTAAGAAGCTAAGTTTCTGGTGTCGCTGATTGGTATACTTAAACATCTATCACACAAAAAAACATTCAGCCATCGAACAGTTACAGAGGTTTAGGATTTGTGATAACCGAAACCAGGAATCGCTGCTGTATGAACACATTGAACCTGTGCCTCGTTGCTACCCCGGATGTTCGTTGAAATTCAACTTACTTTCAAATGAAACTGCCAAAAGAACACGCCAAGAACATGTGCCCTAATTTAATAATTGCGAGTATTTTGCTCTCTCTTGGAGAAAAATGGGAGGAGAAAGAGTGGGCATGGAATATTTTTCATCATCACAACGAGCTTAAAAACTTACCAAAAACATTCCTTGAAGATATAAAGTCTGTTCTTAACCTTTATATAGTTAAGTTATGATTTTCTTTTAAGTGTTGGTAATTTGTAAGTTTTTGTACCTTGCATTACCAACACTACAGCGAAAAACATCGTCTGCTAACAAACCATTATGCGCATGCGTATAGAAACACATTGATGTAATTCATGTATACAAAACACATCAAGAAAGAAAGTATCCTTTCTTATGAGACTCTACATTTCATTCTTAGAATCCAACAGAAAATATTCAAGTGGGACTGAACCGCCATTCCCCTCTGGGCATTTCAATATCTCACTTGTAACAGATAGCACAAACACTGATAGTCATCTTACGCAAAAGACGCCGAACTTACCCCTTATTAAAAATTACATTGAGAGTTAATTGCTCCATTATCTTTTAACTTTACAGATATATGTATTGTTGAAGCCAAGGTGGAATACATGTAGTTAAAGTAACTATTTAGACAGGTCCTTCGTGGACAAAGGCACCAAGGGTAAAACGAACAGTTTCAAATGGTGCTCTATGTTTGACAGAAGTTCACAGGATTCTATTAAAACTAGGAGCTAAATACGGAAAGGCCGTGTGAGAAAAAATACCATCAACTACATGCTCTGATAACTGCACACAAATAGAGAAGATGGAAAAAACAGCCTCGTTCACGGCATTTAATTGGTGTGAGCTCAGAGCTAAAAATGTACACAATTAAAAATTATGTTTTTCTATGATGGGTTTTCTGTAAAACATATCAGTAGATCACAGAGAATCTTTGTAACAGACGTACTTTGTGACTGCACATTGAATTTTTTTGTGTTACACCAGGACCCTGTAACAAGCTTCAACATTTTCAGTTTTTCTCTGTAATATGAATTAACATAAATTTGTATACTGACTTTGTTGCACAAAGCCACTTCCATAACGCTGGTTTTGACACTTTTCTTGTTTGTCCCGTTATTGCGAGAAACAGGTAATACATTTGTGGATAAGAATTTGATTTATAAAGCCATCTTGTGTGCCACAAAATAAGAACTGCTAAAACAAACTTTGCAAGTATTTTTCTTACCTGACATCCACCCCTGACTAAATTTGAAAGAAAAATCGATGTAAGCCAGTTGCGTTCCATAATAGCTTAGTCTAGTAGCAAATGTGATACACTGCGTCTATCAGGTGTGAGTAAGCCTTAACACATAAAATAAAAATCAAACATATTCATGTCACCAGGCAATGACAAGCATATAGCCTAGCCTTCTTTTGTTTCGGACAACAACGTCTTTGTGAATCCACAAATAAAACTCTGTCCTGCACGAAACGAATCTCTGTACATTAACATGACATTAATGTTTGTAACGAGAATTGACGTAAGGTTCTATGTAAATCTATAGAACAGTGTACGTGTACATGGTTTCCAACAGGGCCCTATATGTCTTTTACATTACGACCACTTTGTTCAATGTTATCATCCTCTGTACGTGTTACTCGGGTTTGGTCTAAACATTAATACTTAAGGATATAGCACCAAAGTGGGCCAACCAAAGTTTATGCTTTCCTAGGTTCCAAGGTTTTAGAATTCGCGTCAACCAAACTGTTCTCTATGAAAGCCCGTTGGTGCCAACTTTTTTTTATTTGGAATTTTTTTCCCATTTTTTTCCAATTTCTTTTGCAATTTCTTTTTTTTTTGTCTTGTTTGGTTTTTGTTTTTTAGGTAATTTCATTTGGAAACTTTACGAACGAAGGTCTGGTACGCGGGCGTCACCATACTTCACGCATAATGAACAAGAACGATTTGAGGTCACGGCGAAAGTGCTGTGTAGCCCAATGTTTGTTACTGTTTCAATTTTATTTTGTAATTTTTCTTCCATTTTTTGAGTGGGGGAGGGTAAATTTTTAAATTCTTTTTTGATGTTTCATTTTTTTTCTTTATTCCCCCTTACATTTTCCGAAAACATCAAAAATACAAAAAACAAAACAAAACAAAAAACCAAAAAAAAGTTGGCACTAAAGGGCTTTCGTAGTTCTTCGGTCAGTTGATGTTGCAATATTCCACTTAGCCCGTGCATCCGGTGACTACATCGCTTCATGATCACTTCAAGTGCATCGCAGTTGCATGGTAACGCCGCAAACAGCTATTCGTGGTTTGAAAAGAAACAGAATCTGTTACAGAAAAAGGCAGCCCACAACACAACAAGATGCTGAGTTTCTTTTATTTGATATCAATTTCAAGCCTTGTGACCAAGGCCCACAACGAGCCATCTTGCCAAGGAAACGCCAGGTCATGCACTACGGAATGCCCACGAAATCTCAACCGAGATTTCAACGGCATTCCCAACCGTGTCCTGCTTGGCCACGGATACGGCAACCTGACAGTAGCTTCGCCGGTCCGGTGTGGCAGGGAGTGTCTCATCGAAGACCGCTGCTTCTCTTTTCAGTATTCCGAGAAGGACAGGCAGTGTGAGTTGAATGAAGCGACAGCGTCGCAATTCCCGCTGGCTCTGATTGAGAAAACGGGTAAAAACCACTTCGGACCAGAACAGGTTATTTTATTATATTGATTCATTTTGATAATCTGTTTTGTTTGTAACCCTCTCTGAGTCATAATTATATGTGTCATTAATTTTGTTTCAGGCTGCATTATCATAAGCGAAGAGCTTAGTGCTTTGTCCTGATGTAGCCCATCGCTCATTTTGGCATCCTAGTGAAAATGATTACTGTACATGGGTGAAAATGACGGTGGTTCCTTGATTTCCATCGTGTAAAATTCGAACAAAATTAAAATACACTGGCAGTTTGAATCTATGTGTGTGGAGGAGGTGACAATGAATTCCGCAAAGTTGATTTTTTAACATGTTAACTGCCCGGGCCCTTAAGTCAAATTGTAAGTAGGCCTATATGTTACAAGCACCACTGATGAACAACGGGCATTTTTAAAATTCGGTCCAGAGGGACAAATCAACAAAAAGCATACTACATGTATTATCGTCTCCTCTGTTTTCAGCCAACTTTTGCTGAGCTAATAACAAGTTGGAAGGGAGAAGGTAAGAAGTTATGCGTTCGTATTTATATAAAAAAGAACAGAAAGAGAATGCAGATCAAATCAGTATCACCAAAGTGGTAAATCGACCAAAACCAAAACTCGAAAGAGTTAGAATACAACTGTGAAAGAGTGCAGTGGTTTCACAACTACAGGCTTATGTCTGTTAGAGAACTGGACAAATGGCTTTATGTGCTTTGCGAGGTTGTTTGCGTTTGTGTATTTTTGTATTATATGCATTATACATGAACTATCATACATTCATGGATAATGAGTTGTTATCTGCAAGTCTTGTAAAAATATAGATAGAAGTTTAGAATATAATGTTTGAGTTGATGTCTCACGTATACAATGCTTGACTTTATCCCGAGGTAAACAACATTTTGATGGGTCTATATTCCACTATGACATGGTTCCATATCGATGGGACTTGTAGTTCTAAAGACGGACGACGTTATGCACATCACAATGTAAATTGAAAAGTGACCAAAAAGTCGGTACTAGTAAACTGTGTATAACGTCAATGGGTTTCCATTACATATTCGAATTTTCATAGTAAATTACTTGATGTCATCATGACGTTGTGGCACAAAAATGCCATTCTGAGAACATTTACCATATCTACGAGTTTGCAAGTCAATGAGGGCTCTGCTATGTGTAATAATTGCCATTGTCGCCACTGACATAAATTGCAGCGTGAAGCATGATGAGGGATAGAACGAGTGATTTCATATGGATTTTTAAACGCTTTACGCGCTGACTTGACGACGATGAAATATTAACGGAATATACACGAACACTTGCTTTCACTTCAACAGGATCCCCGTTGCCACGGTGAGGAAGCGCGAACCGTTGTGGCGGTGTGTACTTATTAGGTACAAAGCATTCGGGCGTGGGTTTCAGTGGTTATGGGCATGAGTGACGGAGGGCAGTTAGGTTTTCCATCGTTGGCGTGTCGGGTGTGTGAAAAATAAGACAAGTCCAACACATCAGACAATGAACGCTGCTGTTCACTCGATCATGCGAGGGCCATTTCAAACTTTATCTGGATTACTTTATCGGGATTGATTTATTTAGTAATTTTTGATTTTTTAATTCACTGGTTTATCAAAAGTGTTACAACTGAGTTCGAATGCCCCATTTTCAAGACTATGGTGTTCAGTCATGCATGAAAGGAGGGATACCATCAAGGTATCATTAGAAAGAATACTGCTTCTACTTTCTGGAGATCCTTATACATTATAATCATATATCACGGTTTGGGCATATTAACCCCTATCCTCAGGGTTTTTTTTTTTTTTTTGGAAAACCTTTAATTTACGGCTTTTTTTTCAACCTGTCGTCAAAGGGTGCTTGAGGATTTCATAACGTTGTCAGTCCAAGTTTTGAAGAACACCGTATAAGAGACAAGAGACTAACACCGCTGAAACCGAGTTTCGATTACATGTATATAAAGGCAATTCCGGTTTGGACAGGAAGCAAGGGTCACGTGATTTAATGTGCGGCACAAAAACGAGGTCATGAATTTACTCTCTGATTGTTTGATGCATAAAGCTAGACAAATGAAGATTTTAACTGAATTTTAATGAGTTTTTAGTGACATCTAATCAATACGTTTTTCTTCTAGGACCATTTCTGCACTATTATGAGTGTGTAACTTTGATGAAGATGCGGCATTTCTAAGTGACAAAAAGGCCCCTTGAAAAACTGCGTACAAAGTCAATGAGTTGAAATAGATATTCAAAATTCAATTTAAAAAACCACGTGAAGACATCATCGTGCCGTAAAGTCTCGAGGCACAAGTTCCCTGTAGGGTCTTTACTTGAGTGAATTTTCACAGGAATACGACTTATTTTACGTCCATAGCGATAGGCTGGATAAAACGTGTAAAGTCTTTTCCATTTGCGATAGAGCCCCCTCAAAATATGGCAGGATCAAAGGCTTTATTGCGCACTATATGCGCAAAAGTTAATTAGTGCAACAAGAATTCTGCCCATTTTACAACTTAGACTTCTTCATGTTTTCTTTTGAAAGCGCGATGACAGTGACTTTAACGCGTGTCTCCTGTCGAACACAACCACTTCAAGCAGCAGTTTTAAACTATACAAGCATTATTTGTTCCTTCGGTGCATTTTCAGCTCCATTGAGTCTGACTGACTGTTGGTACCAGAGTCGAGCATGTGCCTCCTCTGACTGCCAAAGTGCCGGCCAACACCTCTGCCTTCAATGGGAACTACAACACGCCTACAAGGAAGGCTACCCGCCAACAACTCCCCATGGCTCGTGGTGCGCTGATCTTGGCCGCCTGGCCGTTCTAACGGAGACCGGAGTGACCTTCCACGACCTGCCGCTGACCACTTCTGCCCCCGCTCTTTGCTGCTCTGTCCCAGTGAGCTACCGAGAGCCCGTTCTGACAGAGCAGAAATATGATCTCGCGGACCGTGCTGGTCAGTTGAGCGGTTGCTCCGACCTGGCTGCCCATCTCTGCACCCTGGCTGAGCTCAAGGAGGCCTACGATCACGGCTACCGATGCAATTGTTGGTATTACTTTGCAACACCGAACCGCGATGCATCAGTGAAGCCCGGTGGGTGTGGTGCCTATTACGGCTCCGAGTGCTACCAAGGGATCATAGCAAACACACCAAGACCAGCCAATGGTCGTCCAGCTTACTGCTGTCCAAACCGCGCCCAATAACTAGTCTGGCATGCATGCAAGCGGGTAGGATTGAGATTGGGTGGGTGATTGAAGGCAAATACACAGAGACCATAATAGGCTTAAGAACCGATGTTAGTAGTGCGTGAAGTTATTAATTAAAGGAACGGAATTGTCATGTTTTTCAACCGTAATCTGTGTAGTGGTTCCACACTCCCTAAATCTATCATCTCAAATAATTATGAAATAAAGCCATACTTAGCTCTGAGATTACAGCTGCAACGGCGTTTAATATTTCAGTATATAAAAAAAAATCAAACATACGTATTACTCTTTTCTCTTCTGTTGTACGTTTTCAACCATATAAACGTCCTTAGCGGATTGTAATTACATATATTATGGTGAAGTTTGTGTGATTGAAACGCAATTGCCGGGAAACTTTTAGTTATATTTCCTGGCAATTTCGATACAGTGTAATTGTGTTTGTAATTTCAAAAATAAACCTAAGCACAATGTTTCAAGAAGTTGGGGCCGCGAGTGAGGCTTAATACGCTGCTGATCTTATCTCTCTCCGCCGAGAGTCAAAGAAGAAACCACTTGGTGACAGGTTTTTCAACTTGGGTCGTTGCGCTTTACTTGGGCGGGCACGCGGTGAGTTTCCATGTCATGTAATGTCAGGCGTGGTAATTACTGTACCACAATAATTTATCACAACCTAAGGAAAAGTGTCTACATTTAATTGGTAAAAATCTACTTTTGAAACACTAATTTCTTTGGCTGCTTTTTCTAAACTGTTTTGGCTGCAATGCTTATATAATTAACAGCATCTTAGAACATGGAAAAATAGCGAACTACCCATTTTCCATGGAATAGATTTTATGGTAAAGTTTTCGACCCATTCGAAAAAAATTAATTTGGTTTTTTTCCCCCCAGTAACCATTCCTCCTTAGGTCATTTTCCAGTTCTGTTATTCAACGTAGGCCAAATAAAGGTAGCACTGCATTTTAGCGAAGTACATACATTTACTGAAATTAGATCCGCTCGGAATATTGTTTGTAAAGGAATGCTACTCATCAGTGACACCCAATGTACGTGGGATGTCGAATATACTTTAAATATCGCCCTTTTCACCACTTATTTTCGAATTCTCTGCAGAAGGACAGGAGGTAAAACAACAATATAACTTAAAGGTGTTAGAACCAATTCTCTTTAAAGTTCTTTCATGGATGCCTCGTCCTTATAATTTCTGTAATGTCGCCATTTCTGTTTCCATCTTCTGCTCTACTGTGTACCGCTTTTCAACCAAAATAGACCCATCAATGCACTGACTGATAAATGCAAAATTTGACGATTTGGCGCGTCCTTCGCTTACGTTGTGGACAAAGATATGGCACAAGTTACCGCGGCTTGTCGTTATGAAACTCGTTGGACCTAATATTGGTCCAAGGCTAAATCTAATCGTGGTCATTTCACAGTCAAAGGCTTTCTGATCACCTTGAACAGCATTTTGGTGATTCGTTGTTTTTACAAGCTGTTGTGGCCTTTAGCTCTGTGGACGAATGCAGGCTCAGAACAGACTTTTGGGAGGCTCGAGAATGACATAACACCCTCCCAGTGCAATGGGAAAATGTGTGATCTTTGCAACAGAATATCCACAGATCTATATGCACTGGGTAGGCAGCTCTGCTCTGCGAATTGAAGGGACTGCGCGGCCATCTTAGGCTATTCAATACGATGGTATTTTCCAAGTCACCGGCTTTAGTGCCGTGCATGAATGCACTTTAGTGAATGGACCGAAGTTGAATATCCTAAATTGGCCGCGCGGTCACTTTTATTCACAGATAGGGGTACAGTCCACTGATTCAAGCCCCATTGAAAACAGTGTAAAATCAGCAATGTTCAGGGCCCAATAACGTGCACGCCAACATCCCTGAGATTTCTGAAAAACTAATGAAATTCTTGTCTGGTCACTAATCTTTCAATTCCTTTTCAATATTTCGTGGGTTAACCAATTACATTTTTAATTATTCCCATCAAACAAAATCGCCCCCCCCCAAAAAAGTGAATTTTCCGAAGGCTGATTGCAGCCATTTTTCAAGTGGCAACCCTCAACTTTCTTGGGCACTTGGGACCATTATTCAACCGTAGTTTTTAGCCATTCTGCTCTCATATGAAAGCTCAAAGACCCAGGGAGTTGATCCCGGCAACGATTTACACAATCTCACCATTTGTGGGGCCAAACAATCTCCTTTTTCAAAAGATACTGTGGGGGCACTTTTAATGCTAATGAGCTGGCCAGAAATTCTCACTTGATTTAGTTGTCTGCACCAATAGGCAGTTACTGCTGAGCTGCCCCAGTGTAGAGAGATCAGTGAGAATATCGCACCAATTTGGCACGTGCACCCCAACGGGACGCCCGCTGTCGTTGACTTCATGCCAAGTTGGTCATGATAGTCGCTTAGACAGTCAGCTTGGCCTGGCGTGATGTACAAGAGCGGTGTTGTGCTGGACATAATCAAATCATCAGCTTGGTGTCACTGTGCATTCTTCTGGACCCAAATAAAATGTAGTCGTTCATAATTTATGCGTACAAGGTCATGAAGTACACGTTTCCAAGAAGCAAATGGAATGCCGCTGTAGAAACGCAGTGGTATCATAATAAATGGGATTTCTATATGCGAATGCTTTGGCGAAAGTGTAGATGTAGAAACGCTTATTTACAAAAAAAAACTCAACTACGTAAATGGCACACATTTCGCATAAATGAAGTTATAAATTTCAGGTTCTTGTACGTGAATGTACCTCTGCCGTCAAGAGTGTCTAAGAGAGTGTCGAAAGGGGTACTGGAAAGTTCTGTGGGGAATCATGGTGCTGTCCGCACCCCCCTCCCCCAAAAAAAATAAAATAAAAATTCCAACTGCAAAATGAGAAAATATGGGAAGAGTCATGAGGAAACAGAAACGAAAGTATGGTGTACTATTTACGACAAACATTTTTCTCTCTCTGTAGCCTCCCTCCAGGCGACGCGACGGCACGACGGCTCCCTTGCGTTGTGCCGTCTGGTGGAACCGTCGCCTTCTTGCCATTTCGTTTGTACACACACGACGCGTCGCGTCGTGTCGTGCCGTTGCCCGTCGCGTCGTGCTGTCTTAGCTCCTTTCCTTGTTGCATTTTTTTCTGCCTAAACGTCGCCCCTTCCGTCGCCCGTCGCGTCGTGCGTCGCGCGTCGCGTCGTACGTCGTGTCGTGCATCGCTTCGCCTGAAGCACGACACGACGCGACGTGTGCTGTCGCCCTTTACTTCATGGCAAAATACATGCAATTCGCTCTTTGGTGTTGGTTTTTCATTGCTTTTATTTCATCGATTAATTAATTAGGATTAATTGCAGTCATATTTTATTGAAAAAAGATGATAAAAGAGCAAAAGAAAATCCGAATAAGTAGGAATTGCTCTCTCAAAATAAGTGGAAACCGCAAGCTCAGAATTCGTCACTCCTTAATTTCCTAGCCAGTGATTTCTTTTGATTTCTCTTATTTCCGTCCATCACGCTCGCAAAATACATGCCCTGAGCCGCAGGCGTTGATTTTTTTTTGGGGGGGGACGTTTCATCCATTCCTTAAATTGAATTACTTTTTGTCGTATTTTATCGAAAAAAAAATGAAAACGAGCAAAAAGAAAATCTGCGTAAGTAGGTGCTCTCACATAATAAGTAAAAGCCCAGAATTCGTCACTTTTTAATCTACCCAGCTGATCCTTGTTCGAATGTCTCTCCAATTTCTTTTTAAGACCGTTGATGAAGTTCCCATTTGTGGTAGATTTGTAACCTTATAAATATTTCTCTGTGGTCCATGCCAACAGTTTCCAAGTAGTTCTCCCACGCCTCCAGAAAATTTGTCTACAATTGTACGACCGCAAGTTTGACCACGGGTTTAGGTAGTTACTACCCAGCCTGCACTATATTATTACCCTCAGAATATTCCGTCTCCAGTCTTCTTTCAGTTTAGCCTTCCTCGTTAACTTCATCAGCACCACACTTTCAATGGTATTAGTCCGCCGACGTGTTTCTTAATAAAACACTGTAGATCTTATTACCATTGTGACAGTGTCTTGTCCTCCTCTCTGTTTGGCCTCGTGCTTAATTTCTCATCAGATCCGCTTGTTACATTTTTGCAAGCACGTAATAATGATTGATGTATTGTATCTTAGAATGGATTTACAATAATTTTTAGAAAAACCACAATTAGATCAGAAAAAGCTAAAACATTGTTGTGGCTGACGTTAATGTAACATATTTCCTGAAGACAACACTGATTAGTCGCGAAGCTCTTTCTAATTACATTTGATTTAAAAAAAGGAAAAAAGTTTTCTTTAACAACTCACTCTTACTGAAAACACAAAGTTAGAAAGAATCCACGAAAAAGAACAACAGAATCAATTAAGGCCTGGTACCTATGGCATGTACTGTGCAAGTGCGGGCCGGGGAAAGGTAATGAAAGAAACCAGTAAAGGCGCCCTCTATAAACACCATGAAGTAAAGGGCTACAGCACACGACGCGTCGCGTCGTGCGTCGCGTCGTGCTTCAGGCGACGCGACGCACAACACGACGTGCCACCCGACGCACGACAGCACGACGCGACGGGCGACGGAAGGGGCGACGTTTAGGCACAAACAATGCAACAAGGAAAGGACCTAAGAAGGCACGACGCGTCGTGTGTGTACAAACAAAATGGCAAGAAGGCGACGGTTCCACCCGATGGCACGACGCAAGGGAGCCGTCGTGCCGTCGCGTCGTCTGGTTGCGTTGCCTGGAGGGACGCAAGAGAGAGAGAGAGAGAAATGTTTGTCGTAAAAAGTACACCATACGTTATCTGTGGCGCGTGACACCCCCTGCGTCACCCGTGATCAGAGCAAATGCCCTATACAATTCGCCACATTCTACTGAATCAATTCCATTCGGAGTCCGTCTACCAACTTAGCAAGTCCCATGGGTTGTGTACAAAACGTACAAACATGTGCTTAAAGTTTCCTTTAAGCACACGTTTTATCTGTGAAAGTGAAGTCACAAAACATTGTGCGCACCTTATTGACTTCAACATTCAATGTTTCACTAAATAGAAATTTCAAAAAACCTAATTACCGACATGAATTACAAAAGACAAATATCCTTATTGAGAGCTACCCCGACCAGCTATAAGAAACTGTTGCAAAGCAGATCGAATAAGAACAAAATCAAAATGGTGGAAATGCGGCATCGGCTTCTACAATTTAACCGAACTTAGTTTTGGAACAAAAATGGCTCTGGGTATCTTTCAAAGCCACTAAAGGTCGGTCCATACTTCAGTCGAATGCCAGAAGCGAAGCGAATTTGAGGTCACCAAGCGTTTGCAGCAAAATTCGTTTAAGTTGAAACGTGTTCAACTTCAGCAAATTTATCACAGATCATGAGTACTTTAAACTATACGGTCAAATACGGATCAAAAACCAAATGTTCAGGAGCCAAACTTGTTTCTTTAGGTGAAAAAACCAGAATTTTTTTTTAGTTAGCCTTTTATGGCTTTTTGAGGGTGACGCTTCAATTTCGATTTGTTTTTTAAGGAAGGGAAATGACATACACCCTCAAAATCACGTTCATCTCATTACATGTACTGTTAAGGAAAAAAATGGGTCCCTATGGGGATGGATACATTGCCCACCAACCACGATCTTCCCTTGGCTACGGTTGCTGTATTTAACAAATAAGTGAATATCTTCTTTTCCTTGACTCGTTTTTTTCCCTGACATTTTTTTCCTAGTATTGATGAGGAACCACTCCCAGCACGGTTATCGCTACGGTCGTGGTCAAGTCATTACAACCAAAGTTGGCCAATAAGAGTGACTGTATACAATCCTTCAACAACGTCATTGTTGCATATATATAGCAAAAACTCCCAACGGGCAAACAGCTATTTGCTGTTTGGAAGGAAACGAAACGGTACAACCATCAAAACAAGCAATGACAGATCAAAGCAGCCGACTATACACAGTGAAGATGCTGCTTTTCCTTTGTTTGCTACCATTTTCAAGCCTGGTGACAGAGGCCCTTACAGAGTCATCTTGCCAAGAAAACGCCAGATCATGCAATAGGGAATGCCCACGAAACCTGAACCAACATTTCAACGGCATTACGGACCGTGTCCTCCTTGGCCACGGCTACCGTAACCTGACAGTAGTTTCGCCGGTCTGGTGCGGCAGGGAGTGTCTCATCGATAACCGCTGCTTCTCTTTTCACTATTCGGAGGGGGAGAGGCGGTGTGAGTTGAATGGAGCTACAGTGTCGCGATTCCCGCTGGCTCTGATTGAGACAATGGGTACCAACTACTACGGTCCACAGCAGGTTGTTTAATTTTACTGTTTTATTTGTGTAATCTATTTACTCATTCGTGACCCGCTCAGTGAAAGTGAGACATACCAACACTGATTTTTCTTTTATTTCAGTTTCATTTTTACGCGTTAGATAGAGCGAGCTTAGCTCTATGTTCGGATATGTAGGCCATTTTGCTACCCTCAGGCTGGTGAAAATGAACGTTGCTTGGGTGGACAGATGTTGACAGTTCATATAGATTTTCATGGTACATGTTACTTTTACAGGTCTGTTACTCAAATCTCAGTCTTGTGACTCGTGACCTATTTTCACAGAGTGGGTTACCTTTGTGGATTGTTTTATTTGTTGTTGTCGCCGTCGTCTCCTTTCATTTCGTTTTGTTTAGTTTGGGTTGTCTGTGGCTTTGGAATCCGTTGTCTTTACTACAGTCAAGGCATTGATTTGGGGACTATATGGCTATCAAAATCAAGTAAAATTTGAGTGCACCCGAGGGGGCAGTTTGCATCTGTAACAGAGGGTGACCATGAATTCGGCAATGTAGATTTTGGACAAAGTAAACTTCTCAACCTATGCGTCAAAAGGAAAGAACGTGTCATAAACACAACTGACAATGATCTCAAGCACCAACCACGCCGATCGGTGCGGGGGGGGGCTTCACCATCCCCAGCATCTACATCTTAGACCGCATTGATCGTGTTCAAATGTTATAGCATGGTTAGACGATTAGACGCAACATTTACTACGATCAAACGAACTGATGGTACTGTAAGATGTCGTACTGAGGTGAAAGTTGAATTTAGAGAGAATCTATCGCTGAAAAGAGCAGTTGTAAGGTGATGAATTCCGTCAGGATTACGCGAACGGCCCTAACTTTTAAAATGCAAGAGCAAGCAGCTCATCCCACGGCGTGACAGACAACTAACTTATGTCACTGAAGGATCATATTATTAAATGAGCCGACAACTGAAAAAGGGGCACAGTTTTCCTACGACGGCCTAGAAAGTCCAAATATTTAACACTATATTCTTATTTTTCCCCTCATTCGCACTGTTGGTTCAGTCAACTGTTGCCTTTATTTAAACATGTATCTTATCTTTCTCCCTGTTGCAGCAAACGTTTGCTGAGTTAATAACAAGTTGGAAAAAAGAAGGTAAGACATTACCTTGCTCATGTTTGTGTTTTAAAAGAGAGAAAAAGACTTAAAATCATTATAAAATAAGATTTTAATAAAACTAAAATAAAAACACGGAAGAGTTATAATTGAAGTGTATCAGAGTGAGGTGGATATTCAGTAAAATTCCAAACTTAGTGCAGAAGAAATTCTGCCTATATTAAAGGATGGACCAGAAGGCATTATAATGCATTCGGGGGGGGGGCGGTCCTGTATTAGTGACATAAACGTACAGTTCTGGTCGTACAGAACCGTTACAAATATAGCAATTTAGACTATAAACAAACTCTATTTGCTCCTTCCGTACACTTTTCAGTTCCATTAAGTCCGACAGACTGTTGGTACCAGACTCAAGCACTGGCCTCATCTGAGTGTCAGAGCGCCAGCCAACACCTCTGCCTTCAATGGGAACTACAACACGCCTACAAGGAAGGCTACCCGGCAGCAACTACTCATGGGTCGTGGTACGCTGATCCTGACGGCCTGGCCGTTCTGACAGAGACCGGAGTGACCTTCCAAGACCTACTGTTGACCGCCTCAGCTCCTGCTCTGTGCTGTTCTGTTCCACTGACCTACCGAAATCCCATCCCAACGAAGGCGGGCTATGATCTCACAGACCGCGCTGGTCAGATGAGCGGTTGCTCCAACCTGGCCGCCCATCTCTGCACCTTGGCTGAGCTCAAGGAGGCCTACTATCACGGCTACCGATGTGAATGCTGGTTTTACTTCGCGACACCAAACCGCGATGCAGCAGTGAAAAATGGTGGGTGCGGTTTCCACACTGGGTCCGAGTGCTTCGAGGGCATCGTAGCGCACACAGCAAGACCAGCAGCTCGGCATCGAGCTTTCTGTTGTCCAAATCTTGTTTAATTAACTTCTCTCATCGTCACGTGGATGAATCCAGCCTGAAAGTTGTCTATAACTGAATGAAACTGATCGGATGGTTTTCAATTTTCGACTCACTGTTGTGCTCAGCTTGTGAAATAGTCGCCTTGCAAACAACAACAATTTTGAAAACATGAAACCTTATCGCCTAATTTGATGCAAAATTAAAGCTCAGTACACTCATCATATGCCATTAAATGTTTTGCACACAGCGATTAGAAAAAAAAGGACTTTTCTGTGAAGTTAGTGGAGACTGCAAGTAGTTGGGTGTAATCATGTGAAGCGTATGTTGTAGTTTTGCGTTAACACTACAGGCATTGTAACGTTGCGTCATTACCTAGTTTATGTTAGTTGAGGAAAAACGAATTTTTGTGAGCAAAATCACTGCTATCTTTGGTGGTTTTCATGCTGCCACGGCCACTGCTACATGCATTGCTATTTCGGTTGAAATGTGTACATGAAGTGCTGGTTACTGAATAGAGGAGCCAGTCCGGAACTTAGTCTTATGCACGGTATATGTTTAAACAGTGGTGTAAGGGGGGGGGGGTACGTTCCTGCAATTTAGATTCAACTAATGTAAAGAAAGTGCAGTTCATTCAACCCAAAGGAACTAACAGAAAAATGAAGTTTTGGGTAGTTACCACGTCACCGTCACTCACTCCCGCTGCCACCCACATATCAATTCCTTCCAATACACAATAAAGCGCTCCCCCAAAAACTACTGTGCGCACATCCTTATCTTTTTGATCTTCGGCCTTGAGCCTCGTGTGAACAGAACTGCCCAAACCCAGTGTGGACAAAACGGACGATATCACTTGACAGATAGGGCAGACCCATACAGTATTGTGCAATGTGATACATGCATGCAGTAACAAGTACAAGACTTCGAAACCCATGTTCCTTTTACGTTAACTTCATTGTAAAAGCAGTGACTCTTTGGAATATATGGTAGTTGAAAAAGCACAGTGATTTCAATCACATGAAAAGAAGGCTTACTTACACAGTTTTCCCCATGCACCCGCGAATTTCTACTGTCTTGATGCAACGTGGCCACCACATGCACGCACATGCGGTGTACGCAATCTTAACTATTATTTCATTGGAAGCAAAACTTTGTTCCCATAAAGACGGGATGAAATAGTAGCCAATCAAAATAATTTGTACATGGTCAGTTAGCTAATGAATAGAAAAAAATACCCTGCGATTTAGGAGGTCAAAGGGTGGCGCTAGCCTGAGTTACGGCGGGTTGAAGTTGGGAAGTTGAGCAGAAAGAGAGAGTAAACAATGAATTTACACGCAAAATTAGACCAAAACAAGACGAAACTCCAATGTTGAACTAAAAAATGACGGAGCTAAATCGATGAATTTTGCCAACTTATAAAAATTTTTCAAAAGGAATGTATCTGAAGTTCATAATACTCAATTGAGGAAGCAAATGTTTGACGCGTTTCTGGGTTATGGTAGAAATGAAACTAGAAATGAGCACCGATTTTTCACGGGTATTTCAGTGTGGACAAGCTGCGTGGTTCAACGGAGCGTTGAAAATGAGCTCCAAGGAATTGATATAGCCTAGCACGTTTGTTAATATGAAGATGAAACAAATTACACTGCATAATCAAAGAAAATAAAAGCATTAGTTTGAGGACTGCTTGGGTTTTTCAGTTCCTTCATTATTTCACAGTTCTTTTGATCTAAATTCAGAACACAGCAAAACCACATTCCGAGTAAGCTTAGATAAACATTTCCTGTAATGAAAAAAGACGTGTTAAAATTAAGTTTCCTTTTAAACGCATTTGCTCCATGAAATGAATTACCAACTGATCTCACACATATTTTTGACGCTTTGAATTTCCACTGAAAAGATGAAGTTTGTACACACCTAATTGACTTTTACATTTCCGTTGAGAAAAAAATATCGAAAATTCAAATCACCAACACAGACCAAGGGGAAACAAATTCCTATACAAATATAAATGACCCGCTACAAGAGACGAAACCGCCGCAGAGCAGAACAAAACGAATGAAATCAAGCACACGCACAGCATGTAACACAGATGACTTATTTTGCATGATTGTCTGTAACGGCAGGAATTCACTTGTCAGAGCGACAAGGTTTCAATACTTTCCAAGAGCTTGTGAGCAAAAACCCCGGATGTTTGTTCGAAATCGATATAGCCACAGGCACCGTAGTCAACAGTTCATATTGAATGTTGTCGATATGTTGTCAGTAAATGTCGTTGTCACCAAACCCAGAGGCCATGTTCCAAATGTGAAAATCTTGTCTCCATAGCAGTATGAGTTAACGAATATCTCGTCAATATCTTGCCAGTATGACAAAGGAAACTTGTGTTCAACTGGCGAGACTTTTTGTCGCTGTGACCAGTACCCACGCACAACTAAGGCAGACTAGGGTTTGGTACAAAATGAAGTATCCTTGAAATGAATGTAAATGACACTGGTGCTGAATTAAGCACGATAAAATTCACATCATCTTTGCCCAATGTCACAAAGCCACAGACGACTTAGCCATACTTCTGAGACGTGACAAAACATTTGTCGCAGGATGGGCTGAAATTGACCCAAACTGTGAAACAACCTTTAGGCCTAAAAGCTGCGGATTTATGAAAGCGTTACTGATAAATTTGTAACTGACCTCTTGAGCACGTTGATAAATTTATTACTGACCGTGATTACGTTACGCTGCCATTGCCACAGCAATTAACAGAGCACGGAAATATCTTATACGCCTCTTTAAGATTTGCCCTCGTTTTGCTGTGACCAACACAGTTATTATCCTCATTACTACCGCTACGTTCATCACACAAAGCCATTATAAGTATATTTCCCTTATTTCCCTCAAGTGCACCCCCAGGCGGCAAGAGAAAGACAGATGGTAGTATACAAATACAGTATGGTTTCAGGGGAAGTAGTGGGGATTACTTGTCCCTCGGTGCAGGTCAGCTTGACTGCCTCCCGCATAAATATCCAAACAGAAATCTCTCGTAACTTGTACTCACAGACGCCACTGTTGTTTCTCAACTGCTAAATTTCCATGTACATGTAATGATAGTGGAAAGCAGATGTGCATAGAAACAGGGTTCAATAGTCTGGTGCTGACATACATTTTGGGTCTTTACTGTAATAGTTATTAGGATAAACCTCCAGACTGGTTAGATAAAGCTTATATGACACAGACTACATATTTACGCGGCGGGTTCCAGAGGGATGTCTTGATGCTACCAGAAAAAAAAAAATAAAAAATACCGCACAGCAGCGAGGTGGATACTCCCCGCTATGACGTCACATGGTAGCGTATCATTTCTGCTTCCCAGACGCGTGGTTGAATCGGCCAATGACGCGCGCCGATTTGCTTATGGATATTTATGAGGTGTAGTAATAAGTTTTCCAAGCAGGTTCTTGCACGCGTTCTGCGTGCACGCTAAGACTATACATTAAGGAATAAATTCGTTACGCGTACTCAGCGTGCTGCGCGTCAAACGCGCCATCGGTCCCATTATGAACGCGCGCCATTGGGGTGAGTACTAAAGCCATACGCCCTTTTTGTTCCACTCGGAGCGGATTGGCCAATGATTCTGCCTTAATTACCTGGTCACACAGGTGGGTAAAACGCCACACACGCAACAAACAGCTATTCGTGGTTTGGAAGGAAACGGTACATGTATACAAACCATCCAAACCAAATCATCGTAGCTGACTACCCAGCGAAGATGCTGTTTTTCTTTTATTTGATATTATTTTTAAGTCTGGTGGCCGAGGCCCTTACAGAGCCATCTTGCCAAGAAAACGCCCAAACATGCACCAGGGAATGCTCACGACACATGAGTCAAGATTTCAACGGCATCGCGAACCGTGTCCTGCTTGGCCACGGATACCGCAACGTGACGGTAGCTTCGCTGGTCCGGTGCGGCTGGGAGTGTCTCCTTGAAGATAGCTGCTTCTCTTTCCACTACTCGGAGGGGGAGAAGCGGTGTGAGTTGAACGGAGCGACAGTGTCGCGATTCCCGCTGGCTCTGATTGAGACAACGGGAAACAACTACTACGGACCAGAACAGGTTATTTCATTTCATCGTTTCATTTTTTTTTTAAGACTCAACCTATGAAAATGAGTTTTTTCATAAAAAAAAATAAGCACTAGAGAGGCCAATTAAACTAACCCCTTTTCTTCTAACGTATCGCCTACTTTGGCATCCTGATGAAAATGAACACTGTATGCTGGTGAAAATGTTGACGGTTCCTATAGATTCCCATGGTGCCAGATTATTTTAATGGTCTGCTACTCAATAGTGACTCTGGCGATTCGCGACTCATTTTTACTGAGTGGGTTAGGCCTACGCTAGTTTTTGAGGTGACTTTGTGAGTCAGTTTTTAAATTTCGTTCAGCTAAAGCACAAATTATATGACTAAGCTTTCAATCGATCAAAATTAAAATGCACGCGAAGGTCAGCTTCAATCTACATGTATACGTAGGAGGGTGAGCTCAAATTCAGAAAGGCATATTCTCAATAAAGTAAACTGCTCGGTCTGCTTGTAAACACGAATAGAAATGTCACACGCACTACTGTTTAACAATCGGTTTTTTTTCAAAAATTCAGTCCAGGGAAGATCTCTTGTACCACCCATGCCAGTCGGTTGGGAGAGTTGAACCCACCATTCGCGGGAACGGTGGGTTGAATTGGTCTCGATGGGTCTCGACCAAGATAACCGTTTTCATGTCGCACTAAAATCCGCCATACTTAACTTTTTACATCACAATTGGTCTTGTGTATTTTTCTTTCGCACTTTCCGTTTGCTCTTTCAATTATCTAAATGTTCATCGTAACAAACCTAAAAACAAAAGAAAAAACACCACGACCATATCAACAACCCAACTTTTGAAGACACAGCACACACACAGAGAAATCAAACACAGACAACAAAAAGTAAACGTGAACAAAACAGAAGAACACATAAAAATCATCCTTGGTTCAATTTACCACTGCATTCTTCTGGCATGAATTCATTGTCTACTGGTAAATTAGAAAATCAAAGTAAATTGAAAAAGTTCATTTTCGCAGAGAAATAAATTTTACAAAGTATTTTTTCCCTACATTTTCTACCTAAAGTATACATCGCAGAAAAAAAGGATACCCAAAAAGGACTTTCATTTTCGTTATTTTGATTTTTGTTTTAGCTTATTTGATAATAGCAAAAACAGTTCTGACAATACGGTACAGTGTTTAAATCACATTTTCACTGATCAAATCGTGAAATTGGACACGGTTATACAGAGTGAATTCGATAGCTGCAAACAAGAGAAAATATCACCAAGTTATTTTGGTGCAGCTAGCTTTTACAGCAAATGCGTTCGGCTCCAGAGTTTTAAACATAGGAGGAATACGCTACGAATGGTACAATATTCAATACTATAACTAATTCATGGTCAATGGGTCACGGTTAGCAGTCTAGCATTAAAGCGTAATGCCCTAGTCAAGACAAATCGATCACGGCTGGTGGTTTTCCACCAATTATTCACTCCGGGTTCGTTTGCTCCCATGAATGCATAATTAATGTAATTTTGGTGCGGAGAGCTTTTACGAAAACTGTGTCCGGTCCTGAAGCAATAAACATGCAACCCTGGGGACGTGTAACGGAAGATCAATAATTAAAGACGATCAAGTCTTGATCATCTACAGTACCAACCTGGGAAAATGGTTGGATTTTTTGGACAAATATAATTATACTAGTATTCGTCAGAAAGAAAATTTTCGCACCCATATATTTATAGCCCTCCCCGTTCTTCAATAGGCCTATACTATAGATTACATGCTGGTTATAACATTTAATCTGAAATGCATATAACAGGTATCATCGTCTCCTTTGTTTCCAGCCAACTGTTGCCCAGCTGATAAGAAGTATGAGGGGAGAGGGTAAGAACTTACATGTACCTCAGGTTCATGTTTCCGTATGATTTAAGAGAATGGACTTTAAATCATTGTTCAGCAAGGTAATATGATGGTAACTCGGAACAGTTAGAATAGAATAGTAGAGAAGTGAACTGGTTATTAGAAGCAGTAACAAAGTGAAGTGGAAGAAAAACTGCCCATTTTAGAAGTTCGACAGGAGGACGTCATTTTGTTTTCTGTAGAAGACGGGGGTTTCCTGTGTTAGTGACTTTAACGCATCTTTCCTGTCGTTCCCCATCATTACAAATATCAATTTTAAACTAAAACTTTGTTTCTTTCATGCATTTTTTTTAGTTCCGTTAAGTCCAACTGACTGCTGGCACCAGACTCACGCATCGGCCTCATCGGAGTGCCAAAGTGCCGGCCAACACCTCTGCCTTCAGTGGGAACTACAATACGCCAACAAAAAAGGCTACCCGACAACAACTCCCGACGGCTCGTGGTACGCCGATCCTGACCGCCTGGCCGTGCTGACAGAGACCGGAGTGACCTATCACAACCTGCCGCTGACCACCTCAGCTCCCGCCCTGTGCTGCTCTCTCCCGCTGAGCTATAGAGAGCCCGTCCTGACGAAAGAGAGCTATGATTTCGCAGACCGCGCTGGCCAGATAAGCGGCTGCTCCGACCTGGCTGCCCATCTCTGCACCCTGGCTGAGCTCAAGGAGGCCTACGATCACGACTACCAATGCGTGTGCTGGTATTTCTTTGCAACAGCAAACCGTGATGCAGCAGTGAAGCCCGGTGGGTGTGGTTCCTATTCTGGGTCCGAGTGCTTCGAGGGGATTATAGCGCATACACCAAGACCAGCAAACGGGCGTCCAGCTTACTGCTGCCCAAATCGCGCCCAATAAATATACACGTAGTAACGCAGTTAAGTGTAGTAGGAAAGTTTTCAGAATTGAAGAAAATCAACAGCTGAATTCTTTTCCGGAGCCCCTTAAGCATCGGCTTCCAGATTTGTTCAAAGACACACGATAGGTGTTGATATCCCATTTTGGGGGAAGGATTGGAAGAAAACACATACGCAGACCAAAATAAGCTTTTGTGATCAACCGATACTATTTCTGTTTGAAGTTATTTTAGGAACGGAAATGTTGGAATTTGTTTCAAGTAGAATCTGGGAGGGTAGTGTTTCGCCACTCCTTTAAATTTACTCTTTAAAGGCAAAAGAGTGAAAAAACGCACTCTCAAAAACAGTGAGTCTCCTACAAAGCTACTCTAAGAGTACAAACAACACTCTAAAAAGAGTAACAACTAGGCCTACTCCAAAAGAGTGAAGTTTTCACTCTGGCAAAGAAGCGCAAATAAAGGACCATACGAAAAAGAGTTGTCCTTTATATGGCTCTTTGGAGTGGTTTTCACTCTTTTGTCGTAAATTTATAAGAGACTCACTCTTTTTGAGAGGAAATTTTTCACTCTTTTGACTTTCATTTCAAATAATTTCAAATCAAGCAATATTTAGCTCAGAGATTACAGATGCCAAGGAATGGAAGTTTTAATATTTCAGTGTTGAATATTTTTTCTGTTCTCCGCTGTTGTACGTTTTCAACCGTACTCGAGGGGACGCAAGAAGGTCGTCATCAGATTGTATTTACATGTACTTGCGTGGAGTTTGTGATTGAACCGCAATGGATTGATAAAGTTTCCAGGAAATTTCGATTCAGTGTTGTGCCTTTAATTTCACACGTAAAGCTTTGCACAATGTTTTAAGAGGTATCCTCACTGATGTCGAAATGTAGGGCCTCCAACGAGAAAAAGGAAATTTTCATGTGAAATTAGAATACTAGAATACGTAGTTGATTTTAATCATGACTTGTTTGAAAGACGTTTTATTTGACTTTGTGTGCGTTTGTGCCTACATATGCCTAAGCGCTGAACAACACCCATTTTCCTTTGACCGTGAAGCAAACACTGACCCCAAGCTTGCTATGCATTACTCTTCTCACGCAGTGAAGCTCTTTATAAACTGCACAACCTCAAGGGCATGCTAAATAGAGTGGGATCAAAACCATGGCAGCAAGCATGAGCCGGGCTTTTGTTTTTCAAATCGCGGTTGGATTGTGTTGTTGACCGTGATAAAACGAATTACTCTTTCCCGCCAACTGGGTGACGTTATACCTACTCGGCTTGACTTCGGTCACAGTTAAGCACTTCAAGATGTCGGTCAAGCGATTAACGGCCGAAAGACGAATAACTGTGAGAAATCAAGGACGCTCGTTTTGATAAACGAGCGTTTTGATAAACCCACAATATATTAATAAGAAACTCATGCCAATAAATGCAGTATACGGTACTGAGCAGCCAAAACAAAACTCAACACACTTTTATAGCCACAATAACACTATTCTGCAGCACGTCTAACATCCGAATCCTGGGCATATACATTTCAGAAGATCTCAAAGGGAATTTATTCATGTATCCAGCATCACTGAGAGAGCCAACGCCACATCGGGATTGCCACGGGGGAATCTCAGAAACTGCCTACACGGCTAGAAACGGTCAGCCTACAGTGGAAACTACAATACGCCTACAAGGAAGACCACCCAGCAACAACTCCCGACGGCTCGTGGTACGCCGATCCTGACCGCCTGGCCGTGCTGACAGAGACCGGAGTGACCTATCACGACCAGCCGCTGACCATCGCCGCTCCTGCCATGTGCTGGCTCTGTCCCGCTGAGCTACCGAGATCCAGTCATCACGACGAATGGCTGCGATCTCGCAGACCGCGCGGGTCAGATGAGCGGTTGCTCCGACCTGGCCACACATCTATGCAACCTGGCTGAGCCCGAGCAGGCCCACAATCACGGCTACCAATCCAGTGACTGGCTTTACTTTGTGACACCATACTGCGATGCATCGGTGCCGCCCGGTGGATGGCAGCAGCTACCATTATGGCTACCAGGGTGTGATACCCAACACACCGAGACCAAGACCCCGTGCACTGGCTTACTGCTGTCCAAATCGTAGTTAGACGTTCTAATTTTATGCTGTAATCCAGAACATTTCAGAAGGAGGCTGTTGCTCTGTGTGATTCACACACATCTCTTCGTAGCCTTGATCGGGTAGTTGCAGCATATTTAGCTAAATTTCCTTTCGTCGATTGTGCCACTGTCGACAGCAGAAGGAACCACGACGAGGGCTACTTGGTGACAATGTTGCCCTAGGTGTCGATTGTAACGTGTCATGAATGTCATAGCTATTAGCACAACATACTATCGCTAATATGCTCCATGCAGGTCCATTAGATATTATTCTATACTCTGCCTATACATGTAAATTACAATCGACGAATTACAAAAGAAATGAAGCTATATTGAATGTGATGACAGTGATAACCATAACGAGCATGAACGAACAGTTTTACACAAATATGATACAGAGCAAGACAGTACAGGGTCCACGCAAGCAAAGGCTTCTAGGCAGAGCAATCCAGACCGTCATGAAGGTACGTAAACAAACGAATAGAGAGAAAACTAACATGGAAAATTCAGGCTTTGGTTAAGCTCACGCCATGCCAATGTAAAACAGTCACAGACAACAATGGAAATAGATGAGCAAAAGGGAAGAAATTTAATGAAAAAGTATCTGTCAAATAATAAGCAAAATGTGTCTTACGTCTTGAAGGCGGGAGACATAGTCACACACTGGGAATCAGAAAAAAAATGTATAACTATGAAGATTTGAATGAACCCATGGAAGGCAATGTTTCGGCCTTTTTCGTCAGTTTAATGTCATTTCTGTTATAAGTACAAAGCGTATTCACTAGGGTGACTGGTATTTATGAGAGAGTACGTTGAAGTTAGCTTGAACACTGGTTGAATCAATCAGCTTCCAGCATTTTGTTTCTTGATTTTCCACATATACTTATTTCTAAGCAGTCGTGACTGAAATACAACTGCGAGACACCACTTTCTGGACATCTGATCTGAATTATCTAACAATGCGAAAAAAGAGCTATAAAACTTTAATGGTTGAACCACTGGTGCCTGACGTCCCTTTCGAAAATAAGAAAATAAAATATTCATCCACATTTTACGGAAAATTAGAATAAGTCAGTTGACTCCTATAGTAAAATAGTATAAAACGTGTTCTTAAATAATGAAATTGGCTATTGGCGTACGGTAACGTGGTTTTAAATGTCCTTTGTTAGCAGTGATTTTAAGTAGCCCTGCAGTAACAGTGAAAGTAAAAGTGGTACTTTTTAACGATTGTTAGCAGTGGTGTCTTAACTGTGATGATTTTTATTCCGTAGATGCACTCTTTGATTGTATTCAGTGATGTTCTAAGTATTAATTATTTTGTTTAGAATCCTTGGCTGCCACGTTTGGCAATGGGAACGTTCGAATATGGTTGATCATGGCAGAATGTTTTTATTGCTGTGCATGGGTGTTGGAGATAAAGACTTCTTCTAAAATCGTAATTTCCAAGAAGGTCCCAGATCTTGGAAACAGAACTTCTAAGGACAAAAGTGTCACTGGCGAAGTCAGACCCCCCATCAGTGAATCAAATGAAAATTCCAGAGAAAAGTAACAAAAGTATCAATAAACCACACTTAAACCATGCAACGAACAGCAATTATAAACTACATCTAATTCATTATAAAATTTCGTTCCACATTGGACCTGTCCTTAAGTGTACTATGTAGCTGTAAAATGGAGTTCTTTCTGAGTCCCCCATTGAAGCGCAGCGTTGGGTAAAAACTTGCGCCCATGAAAATCAATGCAGCCATGCTTTATACTAAATTTCTTGATATCTGAATTCCAATTAATATCTGTGACGTGAGGGCACGAAGTAATTACGTGTTGTAGTACATTAATTGAAAATCATGCAATTCAACTTGGCCATATCACATAGGTATGGTGTGTCTTTGAATCTAGCGGTTGAAGGCCCCAAAGCAAGCGAATAATTTTAAATGCCGCCAGGGCAGTTATGGACCAAAGAGCCGAAAACTGTCTACATCGATTAGAAATGGCGTGCTGTTTAAATTACAAATTACTCGACGGTACATAAACATCCAAGGTTACAGTTCTGAACGGGAGTGGTAGACGGTATTTCTGAACATTTTGGATGGAATTTAACATTAAAGTCACTGTTTGGGGTATAGAGTGGGGATTTTTATTCGAAAAAATGAAGACATGACTTAGACATTCAGATTTTATCTTTAGAAATCACCAAACTACCGTTGTGTCAAAAATCTCAAAATGGCAAGTGTAAGGAGGTATATCAACCTTAAATTTGATATTTTTACGCGCATAGTACACGTATCCACGAGGTCAGTGATTAGTTCTTCATTCTGAAAGGAAGCGTGTCAAATATATCCATCAATGTTGTCCATGACAACCTCGCTGCAACCGATGAAAATAACTCAAACCGATGACGTAAATGAAGCATTGGTTTATAGCAATTACATTTTTTACGTAACCTTTGAAAAGCATCTTTATTTCTGGATAATATTCAATATGAATCATGTTTTTTTAATTTTAAAAGGCATTCACGCTGATGCAGATTTTCATATTCATAGAGCAAAACTGCGGCGTAATTGCGGGAATAAAACGTTATAATTGCATTTCGTCGTCTCAATTTTCCTTTTCTTAGTGAATTCGTTGTTGAGTAAGTACACTGCAACAAGTCTATGCCAAGTCAAAGCAAACCTTTCTCAAAAGACGCTTTCAATAAAAAAGTTATACATGATGACTGAGCAGTGTCTCTCTTAAATGGTATTAAAGTAACAGCAGCTTCAGTTGTCTGGAAAAGCACGCAGGCACAGTTTTAAAGCTGTGCACTTTTCAATAGAATAGTTCTCTGCGATAAAAAAAAGAAGTATACTATAAAAGTAACGCAAAAAGAGCATCCAATAAAAATACATTACCTGAACCCTTTAAGGGCTTACGCAGAGTAAATATGAAAGCTAAGATCTTAAGGTAAGAATTTATAAGAGGCAAAGTGCTTGCAAATGTTTTTTTCCGAAATAAAATGTATGGAAGTGTGTTTTTTAGTAGATGCCTACATCTTGCGTGGGACCATCAGCACATTCATTTATTTCGACATCAAAATAATCATCAGCCCATGGAAAGCAATCAGGAGATCTGATTTCATGTCTCTTTCATCAACAACAACTTAATTTAGGTTGAACAAATGAGAAAATCAATGCACTGGGTTGACATAAACGTCCTTGGCCAGCAGTCTGAGATATTACTTTCACTACGACTCCTAGACTAGGTTCAAGACTGGATTTGGGAAATTATTGTTAGCACTGCCGTGCAGCGACATATTTTTGCGCAAAAGGCTGCAGAAATCCGACTTGAATAAAGGCTACACGTATGGCTCTGGATGTTTTTTTCAAAGGGAAGTGAAATCCGACATATTAACAGGGGAAGCTTCCACGAGGCGTAAAGACAAGTGCTTTCTCGAAACTGGCTATAAACCATTCTTCCATAGGAAAGTACGTGGTGTATCCCCAACCCTGGCCGTTGTGCCATAAAAAAGAGTTCACGCTACTACTGGCAAAGCTGCCGTTAGATGGCGGTGTCAACATGATCCACGCATCAACGTTGCCTTGCCGAGAGGAATTCGCAGTCCGTTGGGGATGAGCTGACCGCAAAGATCGTGCAGCCAGATTCCGTTTAACGACCCCCAAATAATAGAATTGGCCAAAAGTTTTCACCCAAGCCAGTGGTTGTTTCTTCCTCTACCAGGCTTGAACATGGAGGTGGAATTTGCTCAAGGTTACTGCAGGCGCTAAGAAAGGAATTTCATTAATCCTTATCCGTTTATAGAGTAAAACAAAAGATCGCTCTAGAAAATTTCTGAGCGGTTTCTCAACTCGGGTATGATCCAGTACTGGCAAAAATCCAAAGCTTTCTGGTATAATGTACGTGTTACTTTATCACGAACCTCATTTAAAGACTACATGAGTCAAAATCCCACAAAGGCAGCAAAATCGGACATGATTGAAAACAGATGAAAATTATATTCCATTTAAATAACTTTTACAGTCACGACGACACATTTACAGATCATTCTGAGCCACATGAGACACCCCCGACACACTGAAACGGAAGGCGCCCTCTTGCATATGGAAGCCGCCATTCTTGATACATAGGATGCAGGTACGGACGAGTCCATTTTTTATGTATTTCCGTGGATGCAGGCCGGTATAAGTAAACTACCATGACCAACAGTGATAAATATCTAACCTTAAAAAAAGGAAAAACTCATATGTTTCTCAGGCGTTAGAGACGAAGTAAGCCGTTCTCGGCCTATCTACTGGCTTGCACCCATAAATGGTAAGTGTGCGCATAGTGCCCACAACCGAAGGCATTGCTAGGTCTGTGCAGTGAAATTTTGTTTTTCACAACACCCTTTTAAAATGTATATTCATGTTCCAAATGACTTCTTTGGGTTGTTGTTTTGCTATTTTTACAGGTATATATTTTTGACATCTGTTGGGCTTTCCTGTCAATGCAAATTTCATATTTCATTGAGCAATTCCCAAGGGGAAAATCTCCATTGCTGCGTTGATTTCAAAAAGTACAAAAAATGCTTGATGTTTTTCAGTCCTAAATTTTCATTTTCTTAAGTGATTTATTTTATAAGCACATGACGATGAGCCAAAACTAAAGAACTTTTGGGGGAGGGGGCTCAATATTTTAGCCCCCAAACCTGTAAACCAGTGTCTTCCATGAGTAATATATCGCACTGACAGTGAGCCAAATTGTAAACATTTTAAAGGTGCACGTTAAGCGTTTCCTGTACACTTAACCCCG